TATATGCCTCTCCAAATTGCACTATGATTTTTTTTTCCTGCTAAAATGCTGAATCCGCATTTTGAAATCCCTGGTTCATTGATATAAGATTACACTTTAAGATACTCTTAGTACTTAGATATTATCGGACTGACTTTATGGTGCTACTGGAATCCTGAGAAGATGTCCTTTATACGATCAACGACAGCGACCAAAGTGCATGATATTTTTCCGTTTGAAAGCGGGGTAGATACGTTTATTAATGCTGTAATTTTTCAAAATTACTTTTCACAAATACTTTCATATAAAAAGAAGAAGAGAAATCGGTATCTGTCGGGCAGTCTAAATTTTCTGCTTCTTCAAGATGGAAAACAAGGAATCACACATATCCAAAAGGTGTCGGAAAGTTATGTCCGTTGTTTCGCTACTAACTCTTTAAGCAAAAATTTTGAAGTTTTTGCCTATTGACAGCCTCTAGGGAGGGGGGGGGAGGGGAGGCCTATGCAGATGTTTATCAACACGGACGAAAGTGTTGGATAGAACTCAGGATCAGTGTAAGAGAAGCAAAAGATATATTTTAAACTTAGTTTTCAAAAACGACGCCGCTATAGAAACCAATTTTCATGCAACATTCCCTCCTTTTACGCCTAATATACTTACTGCCCTTCACCCAATACTTCTTTATCTCCGTCGCCCGGTTCATACCCGACCTTTAAGAACAAAAATGTATCAGAAATAATGGCATTTAGAAAGGCCATCCAGCCCTCAGAATCCTCCTGTGAAAGAGGGTTTCTTATCAAGCGTCTAATTAAAAGTGCGTATGATGGGTTGGCTTCTTCGACCTTAGAATCATACAGAAGATTTGAGTGCTCGTAACTGTACTGCAAGGTTGTCAAGCGCGGAACAAAAACTTTGCAAAATTTTGAGCTCTTATCACTGCGCGCATAACCGCCTTGCTCTTCGCGGCTTTTAAAGTATAAAAAAGGATTACGGGGTTGCTTCTCCTTCCTGTTTGCCGCTATCCTTTTCCCCAGATTGCCCGTCAGTCTGAAAAATTACAAAAATTTTTTTGTAGATAGATTTCAAATAAAGGCAACCAGAGCGCTTTCAATCCACCTTTTGATCCTCCTCATTTCAATCCTGCATTTCAGTTCTAACATTCTTGTTAAATCAGTTCAGGGTATCCTCCTGCCGATGTCTTGCAACATAATCAGTTTTCTTAGATTACATAATGGTTTCTATAGCTATACTTCTATTAATAATTAACTTGACGCAAATGCCTAATTTTTTAGTTTAGTTTTTATCTCAGGACTACTTTTATTGTGAAAGAAATTCGTCGTCTGCGCAATAGAAAGCTTTTGGCGCAACAGAGTTTCTACAATCAAACCAAATTTGTACCCTGTACGTTTTATCTAACTGACTGCTGCTGATCGCATTGTAGGACGGTATCGGTTCGTTTCCTCTTCTACCAGCTCAACTGGATCAGTAGTAAAATTAAGTTTGTTTTTTGTCGTTACTTTACTTTCAATTAAAGAATTTAGACAACTTTCTAAATTTGGAATAAATTGTGAAAAAAGAATTGGCTAATCTTATTTTTATAAACAGCTCATTTGAATGTTTTTTTTTTACTTTTTTTTATTCTTATCAGTAGTTTATTGCACACAGTCGTTTAAAAGAAAAACTGCCACACGGCAATCAGTCTTCTGAGAAAATAAAACATGGAAGAGTTTTGTATTATAGAAAATAAGACTTATCAATTGAAAGATTAAAAAATTTTGTTTTCCTAATATTTAAAGTTTGAAGAAAATAAGGAAGGCCTGCTAATGTTTAAACAGCTTTTTTGAAATGAGCAAAACATCAATTTTTTTTTGGAATCTTCAAATTCTTGAGCTCAAAAAGTGTCATTTTTGAGTTAGAGGGCTGTTTAGACATTAAATAGATAAACTATTGTGCTGCTAACTAAAAAACATTTTTTAATGCTAATATCTGAACTGCTGTGTGTTTAGCAAATCATTGAATTTCAAAAAAAATGAATTGGAATAATAGGCCAAATATTCATGCTTTCTCCTTCCTTTTTTTTTTTCTCTCTATTGTTTAATGACATAAACGTAAAAAAAGAATAAGATAATCCTCTGCAGCTCCTTCAATAATGTCAAGTCTACAATAGGTTAAGGGCTCAAAAGATTTTGTTTTTTGGTGTATCTGTTCCGTCCTACTAAAACGGGTTGTACGTAAGAGAGTTAGAAATATTATTAATTGATAATTTGCACGAGCAAAGAACGAATTATTTTAAAATTTAATGGTAAGTTTATGACGAATTGTGGAAGTGCACCAACCTGCGGAATGACTTTCAAATCCGGTCCACTATAGTATTATTTCCAGAATTTATTTCAGTAGAGAATAAAACGTTAACCGCCTTTTACTGATTTCAATGACAATAACTGCCACCATCTCACAAATTGTAATTTAGTAAATAGATGATATAGTACAAAATAGTAAAGTGAAATGGTAACTTTTACTTAATTAACTGAACATTGCTGGGTATGATTTGAAATTTGTTATATTACATGCTTTAAAAATTTGGCTCAATTACAGTATAAGGCATTTACAGTAAAATTTTCAAAATTTTATGATTCTTTTACATCCGGTTAACTTTAACAAAAGAAAGTGACTGTCAAATTTGTATGGGGTTATATGAATTCATCAACAGAAAATGTGTAAATTTTAAGAGTTGAGATGCCTACAATCAAGCTGACCCCACATCATATTGTTCAAAAATCTGTGCAACTAAGATTGCTAGCAAGTACAAAATTTATAATAACGCTTTTTTTTCTTTTTTCGGTAATGAATACGTTTAACAAGTTTTACTATTTTTTTTTTTTCATCTACTGTTTACTGATAGTCAAATTAGTGCCCTTTATCTTTATGCAGCATTGACAAGAAAGCAAAACAGTACTGATTACCTGTTAAAAAATTTATTGTACCTATGTTATATGTTTCAAAAAATCTTCTCAACAATTATAAATAACAGCTCAAGTTGTCCACTTATATCACTGATAACTGCTATTTCTGCTACCAAGCAGTGACAGGGGGATCAGTCGCTATTACAAAAACTTTAGTACTTTAAAAATTTCATTAAAAAAAAAAGGATAATACTACTTCGAAGTGTACTTCCAATAACAACTAAATATCGTAGGTTTACTAATCAGTTGACTCTAATCATTCTATGTATATTTCTCAAATGTAGCATTACACTGTCATCGTTCAGTATTCAGTTGCTTGCTTTATTTATTGACAGCTGCCAATTTCCAGTAGTCAGCAGATACTTATGTGTGCAAATACAGTAAAAAGACCAAAAATACCTTTAATCAATAATACTCCAGGCAGAAACAATTTAAAAACCCATATTGTACTCAACTTGCCTTTTTTTAAAAAATACATCTGAACTGTGCAATATGACAATGAGATCTGTACCCATAGTTGGTATCATTTTAAACATATCGTCAAAAACAAAAACAAAGGTAAAAAAAAGTAAAAAGGTGACCTGCAACCCATCTGATGGCGCTTTTTTATTCTCTATTCAAAATTGTGAACAAATTGCACTAATGGGCGAATTGTACAACTTCTTTTTAAACGATTGAAAATATACCTGAACTCAAAATTTACCGAATACAGTCAGTTCAATCTGATATGTGGTTGATAATGTTCAGGTAGAGATGTTGGTCCAGAATTAATGCTTAAACTAACTGGTCTAGAATTGTAACCAGCGCACTTTAAATGAACAGCTACCAAAACGTTAAGTATCATCTTTGAGATCCGTAGGAACTGGTCAATGGCAATAAAGGAGATCAACCGCATAACATCATATTTAATTATCATTTAAATTTGTGGTGTTTTGTTGTGTAATAAGAGCTGTAAATAAATGCTGCATAACTTGATTAAGAGGCTTCTGGGTGGCAACCATCCACAACACCAAAGGCTGGGCCGAAAACGGAGTATAGCTAAACCTAAAAAGAGTTCTCTAACCTTACGAAAAGCGGTATTTTTTGCACGCTTCTTTTTTCTATTATTTTGAACAGCAAAAAAAAAAAAAAAAAAAAAA